TTTCATCTTTTGAAAAATCTGCAGAAGAGCAAGGTGCTTCATCCCCTTCTGGTTTACTAGTTTCACTGACTTCAGTGGTTTTGATGACCTCCCCAGCATTTTCTCTTTTCTCTACAGTAGCACTTTCCTTTTCACCTTCTGGACCTTCTAAAACTTCAGGTTCCTCAACATCTTGGTCAATATTTTCATCTGTAAATGGATCATCACCCTGATAAAGGGAGGAAGTAAAATGTTATCAATGTTGTTTAGCCATCTGATCTTGTCTTAGAGAGCCTCAGACCTAGAACACAGAAGTTTGAGATTGAATGTCTGAAAAGTGAGCATCTACTTCAATGCAGAAGGGCTCAAATCCCTCTTCTGTCTCAATTTACCCAAGAAATTGGTCTATATTTTATTCAAGTTCTTTACATATCATTGTTGGCACACTAAATCTCCTGAGACTATCTGAAGATTGGCTAAGTCTCTGCCTTACAGGAGGAAGAATGGACTCCAATATGTTGTAGCGTGTTCACTGTGGCTTTACAGGGGCAATTTTACAATAGGTAAATGGAGTAAATATTAGGTAAAATACAGTACCTGTGACCTCTGAAGACTCCTCATTTCTCAAATTACTTTTAGAGCATACAATTTAGAGGCAGAACTCCCATCTTTAAGAAATGGCCAGTTTTATTCAACAGCCAAGTAAGTCAGCTCTCTCACACCCTATTCGCAAAGTCCAGCATTGACATAGGGCTATAATTAATAACGGGTACTTACAGATTTCAGTGGTTTTATTAAGTAGCTTACTTTATGTGTCCAAGAAAACTAAGTGACAACTGTACTGGGAATTGTATATATAGAAGCTATGCTAATCTTATTCAGATTGAGGTCAAATCTTGGCACTGTCTACTATGGGGACCGAGCTTTATTTAGCTCTAAGGAGGATTTCAGTTCTTTAATAAAGAAAATACCATATGAAAGCATCAGGGATACACTAATTGTACACCTGCCTGTACCATGATAGTGTCCAAAATCATTGTGTTCCCTCCTCCCCGTTCTTGTAACTCTTCTCTGACATGTGTACAACAAAAGGCAGCAGCATGCCAAGGGCAGAATCTAGCCCATTACCTGATCAAATACAAGTAATAATTTCTGAACTCCTATACTCATGGGGGCAGCAAAGTGAAGAGTCCCGTGCCTCTCTGTATCCACTGAATCCCACCCACAAAAACTGGGCTGGATAATATAGTAATGATTTCTGTATCCAGAAATAAAGAATCTGTTCTATGATCCAGTTGGATCAAATTCAGACCAGACTAATTGCTTCCATGAAAGAATATCCATGCACGTGTAACACAAGTAGCGCCATCTTCTTTGGCCGAAAAATCAGCCAATCGGCTTTATTTATTGATGTTCTGGACTTTCAAAGAGCATTAGGCTCTACCCTGCAATTTGGATTTGTCCATTAATCACTAATAAACAAATTGGGGAGAGGGATTCAGAGTCCCGGACTGGTGGAGACTGTCACAGGCTTCCTCAGGAAGGGCAAGGTGCCATCATCCTTTAGGACAGGAAGCATTAGGGTAGTATTCAAGAATCATCTCTTGATGTCAACAATCTCACCCTGCCTTCAGCCTTCCTTTCTTGGGGAAGGTGATGAGAAGTGTTTTGACGGGGCATCTCTGGCATTACCTGGAATCCTCAGATTTCCTTCACCCCTTTCAGCTTGGTTTTGCACCTGGGTATGGTACGGAGACTGTGCTGGGTGGGTCGAAGATCTCCTCCTGCTGATGGACAAAGGTCAGGTGTCCATGCTGATTCTGTTAGACCTGTCGGCAGCCTTTGATACTGTTGATCATGAGGTGTTGCTGAGGCACCTGCGGACCCTAGCAGGGGTAGACGGAGTTGCGCTTGAGTGGTTCCATTTTTTCCTCCGAGAGATCCCAGAGGGTGGCACTGGGCAACTGCTCATCTGCCCCAGGGCTCTCTCATGTGAGCTACCGCAGGGTTTATTTTGTCACCCCTCTTGTTCAACGTGTATGAGAGGCCGCTAAGGGAAAACAGCCTCAATATATGGGCCATCAGTACCAACAATAGGCTGATGTTCTCAGCTCAAAGTCTCTTTCAATGGACCCGGAGAGCAGTGTCTCGGTTTTGCTAGTGCTTGCCTAGCAGAAACTAGTTAATTGGCAGGTGGTCAGTCTGAATAAGACCAAAGTGTTGCCAGTGGGAGGAGGTGCAGAGACACAAGACCCCATGATTCATGTTTGCCAAAAGAGGGTCCTGTTGAATCTTGGATTGCTCCTGGATTCCCAGGGCACAGTAGCAGCCAAACTTGCTTTTCATCTTCACTTGGTCAGACGATTGCCATCTTTCCTCTCAGAAGTGGAACTCATCAATTATCTATGGCCATGTATGCTACATAAGCAAACCCTTGATGGTCACCAGAAGTGTCCACATGACATGCAAGTGCCCATCTAGGCATGCACTCTTCCCATTATGGGTTTATCACACTCCTGCTTTGGAGACTGTACTGTCTTTTCAGTTCTTAGCAGGGCAAAATGCTAGTCTGACCTATAGAGCCATATGCAAGTATTTTTGTCACCTCATATACCTGTCTCTTAACAGTTGAGATTGGCTAAGCTGATGTCAATTATTTCCACACAGGATCTTTGGGAAGAATACAGGGAAAATAAATGCTTTGGAATGTTGGGAGATCAAAGCAGAGCTATTTCATTCAAGAAAGATCACTCCTTGCCATAAGCAAGAAATACAGAGCTTTATCCACAAACAGAAATATTTCAAGCAGTGCTGATTTTGGGCACCATGCTCCCACACAGCAGTTTTACTACACTATCCTCGTCAGATTTAATTTAAATTTCTTCATCACCACTTATAAACAGCTAAAGACTTCTTACACACTTTCTGCTAGTCATTAGAATAAGTATCCAATGCATCTGGAAAAAAGTGAATTCCTTTGAGATAGACACTATTTCTAGGCTCAGACTATGCACAAGAGAACAAATAGCACTGTTTCTTCATTTTATATGAAAGTCACATGCAGCATACTCAGTAACTAATGAAATGCTCAGTCAAGACCAAACTGGAGTTTCTGCTCCACTGCTCTGACAGAAGTTGGACTGAGCAGCAAATATCCTGCTTTCTTACCTTGAGATACTTTTCTAGCATTTTCACAATTTGCTTGCTATTTAGGACACTTTTAGCTACATGAAAACTAGCCTTCTTGAAATGTTCAGCTGCCATCTGGAAAGAACACATAAAATGTATAGGTAATTCTGATGGTTAAGTACAAAATAAACATGAGGTTGACATGGAAAACTGCATTCCTTATTCTCTCTTACTATTTCAGAGCATCATCTCAGTAGCAGTACATGCTTATGACTCTATGAAACATAAATATTTAAGATTAAAAACAGCCAGCAAATTCTTATTAGACCTTTTGGTGAGGTTTTTGGCCTAGGCAGTTTCAAGTTATACAGGATTCAATCTAGAGTTTCCATAGTTCTCCATTACAGAACTCTGTTCTTAGTGTGGATTGGGAGAAAGGATTTTTATTTTCTGCAAATTGTCCTGTCCTATGGAGCTCCACTGTACTCTCCCAAATTTGTTCCACTTTGGGGAAAATTAGCCCAAATCACCTTCCTCTAGCAGAAACCTCTAGTGGTTTTCATTCCCTTTCATGACTGAAAGGACTTTTTCCACTCATAGAAAGGAACTGTATCCAAACCAAGTGAATCAAAATGATATAATCTTTATAAAACTTGAATATAGAACAGGAAATTAAAATATGGTTGTATGAAGCAAAGATTCTTTAAATATCTCTGTTAAAGTGGATTCATGCCACCTGTTATTGAAGACAAGGTGATACTGTATTTCCACAATACTTTTAACCATTTATATTTCAAAAATGTGTCTTTTCTTGATTATTCTTATATAGATACCTAAAGGAGAATGCAATAATTCTTACTGCAGAATGGAAAAAGACAGTTGACTTCTTTCATAGATGTCCATTAATAGTATTCTTTCTCTTTTTTATCAGTTTGGGTTAAAACCACTAATGATCATGGTTTAGTTTAAAGGCAGAAAAAGTTAAACATGTTTCTGAAAGATGAAAGCAACACTAATACAATGGAAGTATTTCTATAGTATTCATCATTTCTACTTAATTTTGAAAAGCGTTTCTCACTCTATAAAGGGGAAGGACAGTACTGAGAACACAAACCCAGGACTCTGACTTCTAATCTTACATTAATCTCTTATTTTTATACAGCACAGTAAGGTTTCTTGGTATCATCTTTTACTGCCATTCAAACTGGAACTATTACACATACAGTCGTGTGAAAAAGTAAGAACACCCCACGGAAATGTTTGACTTTTTCAACGTAATTCAACATACAGATATTTGATTTTTATTTCAACAATATTGATAGATAAAAGGGATATAACATAACAAATATCACGCACCATTTACATGTTGTAATTCATTATGTAATTTAAATAAACATAAATGCAAATTCTGCATGTGGAAAAAGTAAGTATGCCCCTACATTTATCACTACCTCAATTACCTAAAATTAGAATCAAATGTACCAGATTAGATGCAAATGTTAGAACATAATTAGAGATGATCTGGGAGGAACCTGACTTATTTAAACCTCAGACATTTAGTCTGATTTGCTCCTTCTTGTTGAAGTGTGTCGTATCACCATGTACTTACTTTTTCCACAGAAGGAAATGGGATATCTGTTAATTTTTTGTTAAATAAATGATTGCTAAGTCAATTTTTCATAGTTTATATCACCTTTTTCTTTATATACTGTTATAATGAAGATAAATGTTGATATGTCCACATATGTTAAAAAAAGAAAAAAACTTTACATGGGGTGTACTTACTTTTTCGTATAACTTTATTATTAAAAGTCTGAGGCTTACAGAAGAATTACTACATATACTGCCTTTAAATGATTTGACTAGACACTATTTCCTTTTTTTTTTTAAAGAAAGGAGACATGGAAATTCTTTCTACTTTAACTGATCCCTGGATGAAAGGTAGCTATCAAGACAAATTTATTTGTTCTTTCTATACATATCTATATGCTGCAAGGCTGTTATTTTCTAGTTAATAGACTTGTCCAAAAAGAATTATATTGCTTACTCTGCGATTCCTGTTGTGATCGACAGATCTCAGATGTCTCTGAAGAAGATGTTGTTGTGCAGGAATTAGCATGTCACAAGCCATGCAGTGAGCTGCTTCTATCTTTTTAAAAAAGTGCTCCTGGCCAATTCCTGAAAAGGTATAAATTAGATGTTTCCCATAAAATTGAAACATAAACTACAGATGGTCCTGGATATGCTGTTAAAAAAATTACAAGCATTCTTCTCATACAATGCTGGGGCTATAAGAATGAAACATATAAAATTATTACCACAATAGCTACAGTCTGAATATGTAAACCAAATTTCCTTGTTTAAAAATGTGCATGTGCTTGTGATAACTATTAAAAAGTCTGTTTCCTGGTACTATCAACCTATATAGCTTTAAAAAGTAACATAATTTATCATGAAGAAAACTCTATTTTCCAATATTATCATGTTATATCTGATAGCGTTATCAAGGGCTGCAAACATAAAATTAAAGTTGTATTAAAGATAGACATTTTGGAGTGCAAGGGAAAAAATAGGGCATGGAGTTGTTACATTTTTGTTAATGAAGTAATTCTAGACTCCTGACAAAGTTCTTACAAGATTCTAAAGAATTGGTAATATAAACCTGGGAATAACTTCTTTCACTGCTCTCTGCTTGTTTTCAGTTTGCTCCATCTAATATGGGAGCGGACAACATTTGAGAAATCAGGACTACAACTCAATCTCCCAAACTTCCAAGTGCAGCAGGAGGCCATAGAGTGCCATCACAAGAAGAGGTGCGACTAAAATCAAAAGTCCCATCTTAACAAGTTTTATATAGGTATTTCAGAGAGTTGTCAAAGAAAGCATTTGTGCCCATATTTAGTTATGTCTATACATTCCTCTACTCTTATCAATGCCAACTAATTCCCTGAAACAGGACAAACTTGTAATTTCACATGCTCTGGCTTTCTGATGCATAAGGCAACCTTCCTAACCTGGTGTCTCTAGACATGTTTGGTGCTAGATCAGTCTCCCACAACCTGGTGTTCTAAGTGGTTTTTTTTTTTTTTCCAAATCTCTATATTATCCTTGGAATTGCAGTAAATGATCAGTTAAACCCAGATTCAAGGCACTCTCAGCCATGAAAACATACTGAGTGATTTGGGGTCATGACTATCTCTCAGTCCAACCAAGCATGGCTTTGCTATAGTGGGAAAATTTTGGACAGGCAATATGACTTCTTGAATTCCTGGTGGAAAGATAAAAATTAATTTATTAATTATTGAATTATTTCACAGGGTTAAGATAAAAATAGAATAATCTCATGTTTAATGCTTAAGATCAAGATATGAATGTAAAATAAACAAATAATTTGACAAGAGATAAATATCCCTTTCTGTTTCATTTCTTGTTCTTCCTGCATGGTACTGCATTTTCCACTATATTCATGCTGCCTCAGACTAGTACTTGTGTTATAAGTTTTTAAAATTTGGACTTGGTTTTCTTGCATTACAGGTTGTCCTCGCTTAACAACCCTAATCGGGACCAGAATTTCTGTCACTAAGTGATGCAGTCGTTAGATGAAACATCACATGACTGCATTGCTTAGCGACAGAGTTCGAGTATTTCTGGTTATGGTTAAGCCAGGACTATGCTATCATTAGGTGAGGACCTTATGTTTCTCTTGCCCTGCTGTGCTTGCCCCCGCTCAACCTCATCCCCCACCATTTCTGCTCTTTTGGTAATCCTGCCATCCACTGCCCCTATGGTTCCCAGCTGAAACTTTGCCATCTTCCTCATGCTCCTGATGAGGTGTACCGGGCCTGGCCCTTTACAAGGCAGCTGCTGGCTGCATGAGGTCTTGGGAGGCTTTGGGAAGGCTGTGCATGGCCAGGAGCAGCCTCACGAAGAGCCAGGCTGGGTGCGCCTTGTCAGCAGCAGAAGACAGTGAAGGCTCAGCTGGTGGAGCAGCAGGGGCAGCGGAGTGCAGGGCAGTGAAAAGGGCAGATATGGGGGAGACAGGCAGTGGGGGGAGCTGAAATGCACCCTCCAGTTGTAAATGCAGGCAGGCTGCCAAATACCCAAATTTTCATCACGTGATTGTGGGTGCGCTGCAACGGCTGTAACTTTGAGGACCAGTTGTAAATATCATTTGTTCAGCACTGTCATTAGTGAGGACTACCTCTATATCTTGCTTCAATGTTATTTCTCAGAGGGATTAAGATCACTGCAGCATTGTATACAATTTCTAGATGATAGTTAATGCATAGCAGATGGTCTTCTACTCTTAATAATGTTGTTCTTACCCTTGAAGGGGTCAGGCTTTGGTTTTGTGCCCTCTTTCTCAGTCAGCTCTTGTCGGCGCTTCCCAATCTTCTTGTTTCTATTCACAATGTATTTCTAGGGAATGGGAGTAGACAGCATTAACTATACAAGTTACTGGCCTTAAACTATGAATAAAAGCAGCCCAATAACAGATGATTTTGCAACTATACCCCCAGCATTGCATTCTTCCCTGAAAGATTTGATCAGAATAGTTAAGTAGCGATGTACAATTTCAATTACATTTTTCGTGAAAGCCCTAATCACCAGTTAGGAAAATGTACAGCAGAAGCCTTTACGGTGGCTAAAACAAATGATTTTATAGTAACAATAAACTTAGTTTTACAAAAATCCATGAACTATCATGTGTAACTCTTCAAGCAACCTTAGCACCTTGTCTAATATTAGGACATTTTTAAGTATTGAAATGAGAATTGAAATATTCAGTCTTGGTTTTATGAACAGCCCAGAGTCTTTTGGAGTGGGTGGCTACAATAAATCTAAATAACAATACAGGTAGTCCTCGCTTAATGACCATTTGTTCAGTGATCATTCAAAATTATGATGGCACTGAAAAAATGGATTTATGATCCTTGCCCAAAAATATGGCTGTTGCAGCGCTCCTACGGTCATATGATCAAAATTCGGGCACTTGGCAGCCCACCTGTACTTACGACTGCAGGGGCACTGCAACTCCCCACACCTGCCTATCTCTCCCCCATCCATGCCTTTTGGCTGCCCTGCAGCAGCTTTAGGGAAGAAATGAGAGGTGTGGCTTGCAGAAGTTACGGGACGTGTGGCTTCCAGAAGGAATGGGACGGGATGCCAACTTTAGGGAAGAAATGAGAGGAATGGCTTGAGGTACGGTGTGAGGTGGCAAAATCCAGTGGTGTGGGGTGTGAGGCAGCATTTCTCAGTGGCAGTGGCACTGGGGCTGAAGTCAAGGCCTGGGGGTGGTGACAGCTAGCTGAGACCACCAAAGGCCTCGGGCCTCTACTTCAGCCCTAGCCCCAGGGCTACTGCTGAAAAATTCCGCTGTGCAGGCTGGCCAAGAGGGCATAGATGGGGGGAAGATAGGCAGGGGGGAGTTACAGAGTCCCTGCAGTTGTAAGTGCTGGTGGGGGGGCTGAGGCTTCCAGGGACAGCTGTGGCTTTGTGCCACATTGCAGCATCCCCCCAACTCACACATGGCCTGCGCTGGGCCTCTCAGACCCCCCTGAGGCATCCCTGTGCTGCTTACCTGGGACTCCGTCCACTTAACCCACGATTCTCGCTTAACGACAGCAGCCGGGAGTGCTGGGATTGCAGTTGCTAAGTGAAGCGGTCACGTGATAATTCACTTAACCACATTGCTTAGCAACCTAAATTATGGTCCCAATTGTGGTCGTTAAGTGAGGACTACCTGTAATATTAATAACAGTAATAAATGTTTTGATAATTTTGCACTTATTTGAATGATTAATTTAATTAATTAATTAAACTGCTCAATAGTGCAGACAGTTAATAGTTTCTTATTATTTATACTCTTATATCAATTTAGGATTTTTTGAAGATGTACCTGCAGGAATTCTACTGTCTTATCAGGAAGCTTGGTCCCAATGTATCGCAAGACTTCTTTATGAAATTTGCTTTGCAAATGTTTCTCCATTTCTTCATTCTCAAAAGTTCGGAATTTACAGATAGAGCAGGCAAACTGGATTCTATAAGAAACCTTTTAGTTACAATATGCTATTTCAAAATTATGAAGAATTATGAAGTTAAATTTGTAAACAAAAACTAAGCACAATTAATTCCATAAATTTGACAAAGCCTAAGACCTAATTTAATTTTGAACTGTTATCTCTACTACAACACACAGCATTTTAATAAAGCAAATAGTATACCTCTATACTGATGTTGAATTTTAATTTTACAGCTATAAAAAAAGAAACAATGTTTTTAACAGCATTTTTTTCAGCAAGACATTATCTTTACTCTCAAAGATAATCTGGAAAAACACTGCATTAAGTTCTGTACTGCATTCAATTTTATTAAGCAACCTAATCAAAATACATCTGAATGTTTATGATATCCTTTGATCCTAACATAGCAACATACAAAATACAAACAGAAAAATGGGAAACAATTTTTGAACAACCTAAAATATATTAAACAGCAGCATTTTAAGGTTTCCCAATTTTGTTATATTATATACTTTTAGTCTACACAGTCAATTAGACAAATATTACTGAGTAGGCTTTTATAGAATAAAACTAAACACAAAATCCCAGTTTAAAAATAGTAGTTTGTATGTGTGTTTTTATAGTATCTTTTCATAGTATCCTTTCATAGTATTATTACCTTGGACACATTCAGGTCTGAGGAAACTGTTTTTTAATAACAGAATTCCAAACTAAGTTTAATTTAGAGGGTTTTTTGACAATTTACCTTAAGCATTTATTGGGATTTTTGGAGCCCGATTGCTACCAAAATTCCTTATTAGAGGTATTAAAAAATCAGTTGTAGCTCCCAAGCCAGTAACAAAACAAGTTGAAATAATTTGATGCAATTATATTGTATATGTAACATTTGAAATAACAGGTTTCACCATCTTTTTCTGTAAGTCATTGGAAGGTTGTTTTAAAAATGTGAGAAGTAATGTTAGTATAACATAAGTGTTTATTCTGTGTATATTGTACACCCCAGAGAACATTAATAAGGGTTGATAGTAATTTCCCTGTGAACGGGGATACAATTAAAGAGTTGGAATATAATATTTATGGATCTATTATATTTTTGCAGAAATCTACATGATTGTTAGCATATACTTAGATCAACTGCTGTATACCAAAGATACATACCGTATTTTTCCGACTATAAGATGATACTTTTTTCTAAAATCCTTACCCTAAAAACTGAAGGGTGTCTTATTCAAG